CCATGAAGGACGAGAAGGTGACCTCTGGATCCGAGGACGCGGAGTCCGACGAGAACGAGCTCCCAGACTCCAGCCCTGAGGTCATTGCCGAGGAGAAGGCGGCCGCCGCGGTGCAGGACGCGGATTCCGATGAGCCTGGGCCCATGGAAGCCAGCACCGATGACACGGTAGAGGCGGCGGCGTCTGACGCCAACTCCGATGCCAAGTCGGATGCCAAGTCCAAGTGAGATCGCAGCTAGGTGTGTTTCTCCGGAGCATGCTGATCTGTCACAAAAGGGCTTATCCGGGAGGGAGCAGCTGTTGCACCACGAGGATTCCAAGCAACTGTAGGAGCAACTGAGTTGGGCTTGCTACGCCTCACATCTTTGCCTCTCCTCATGCACGGCCCAAGCACTGCAAAGTATTCTGCAGTACCAACTTGAACGAAGTTTCTTTTGTCAGGGTCATGTTGCGCTTAGTTCTTGCCTTTTGCCTGCTGAGCCTCGGCACCGGCTTGGTGCTCACGGAGAAGGCGGAGCCTGCTGCACCTGCTGCCAAGGCCAAGGAACCCAAGGACAGCGCAGTCCTGGCCGCCAGTGCAAAGGAAGAGATGGAGGCCAGCGAGGCCGACGAGGGCACTGAAGCTGACGAGGCCGCTGAAGCTGACGACGAAGCCGTGGAGTCTACGGCCAGCGAGGAGGCTCCCGCGGACAAGGAGGAGTCTGACCCAGCCGACACAGTGGCCTTGGCGTCGCAAGGGCATGATGAACAGGACACGAAGGATGATCCTCCACCCCCTCCTCCTGGACTCAGCGAGAAGGATAAAGAGGAGTGGTCTGAGACCATGACAGACGAGCCAAAGGACGGCGAGGAGAAGGAGGCGGAGCCCCCTGCAGATGTGGTCAAGGAGCAGGAGGCAGATGCCGCTGCGCCGAGCACCAAGGACTCGGACGAGGCCATGGACCCCCCGGACGATATGGAGTGAGCCAATTCCCAGGTTCAAGAGCTGCTGACTAGAATCTAGAAGCCTTTCCTACCTAGCAAGCGCTTCTTCGCTGGGTCTGCAAAAACAAGTGGGTCCTGCCATCGTAGCTGTTGCAGCGAAGCCTTGCATGTAGGTTTTGTTCTGATAGCTTACCCGCCTTCCTGCCCTGCTGCTCCCT